GCACCACCGATTTTCTCAGGAACGGGTAGACCTAGCAAGTTGAAATTTATACCAGATACTGAGGTCAATGTTCCCTATTGGGTGTATAAAAATCCTGAATCAACCGGATAAAAAGATATGGGCAAATTTCGATTTTCGCGAAAACTTGTAAGTACCAAAATTTACCTTAATTTTCAACTTTTTTATTTTTAATAGTCAATGTCTTTTAAATCGGCATTTTAGTCATTAAAACTTAAAAAAATATATTTGAGGATTGAATTGTCTAATCGAAGAAGTCACCACTGTAAATAAAGCCAATATAATTTTAAAGCGAATTAATTAAGGCTTAATCATATCGGTGGTATCGAATCGAACATTGTACACTATCGTGAAACAATCAATTTGAGACTCGTGTGTGACTTGAACAGTCTCGATACAGGCAACTTTGATAAACTTTTATGGTCCAATTTAAGAGTAAGAGCGACATTAATTCTAAGGCTTGTGTTCTTATAGGTCATGTGTGATTTTGTTACAAGACTTATACGGAAAGAAAAATCATTTATTTTGTCATACCGTGTTAAGGGGTTATATACAGTTAGAATTTTCAGTTAGACGGTCGACGGTTAGTCGGTATATACAGTTAGAATTACAGTTAGAAATTCTAACTGTATATAACCCCTTAAGATAACTGTATAAATTTTAGTGCATATTTTAATCAATACTTGAGACGCCTGGTGGTTGAATTAAAACTATAGTTCATTAGTCTGACGCCTAGGACAACTGCAATAGTTTACCGTTATTTTATGGAGAAATTAAAACACAATGTAGGTAATTAAAATATGTGGTAAATCTTTTAGACGTGTAGCAATAAATTGTGGTTGCTAGGTTTGATCATTGATTTCTTGATAGAATATGTTATGAGTTAATGCTAACTGTGATATGTTTATCGTCTATCAGTATAATATATAAAGATATAGTATTCTTTAGAATTATCCAAAAAATCTAAAAGGGGAAAACCTCATACTATTACTTTTTTCATTAGTAAGTAATCATCATCATCAACAGGCTTTAATAGACCACTGCTGGACATAGGCCTTTCTTTAGAATGAAGATTTTGGCCTACTATACCTCGCTGGTTAAACGGGTAGGTAGGGATTGTTTGAAGTTATCCTTCTCTTTGCAGTGATGTTGTCCTGCGTAGTTTGCTCCCTTAGTCAAGTCTTACGGCACCCATGTGATAAACAGGGGTGGTGTATATGGTGACACTCCATATTCTTAATCCGTCACGACATGGTAAGTATAATCACTAAATAAGAACATATAATAAAAAAAAAAACTATATAGCTACTGTAAATCAGTAACGAAGCTTATAACTTAAACCACAAACTTATCACGATAGTAAGAGACAATAGCGCCATTATTCTGCGCTGAGCGAGTTAACAATGAGCCAAACACTGATTAAGCGGTAGTGCGCTGATCGTAAATTATGTTCTTACACAACCTTTTATGGAAGAATCATAAATGTAGCAAATGGTGGTCAATTGAAATAAAATAGATTTGTATGAGTCATAGCTTCATTATACTCGTCTGAAAATAATGAAACTCGACCTTCTGTGGTAAAAGCATTTTCATTTTTGTAATAATTTAATATTCAATTTAAGTTATGTTTTGGGATACCATGTCCATTTTAAGCCTAATTTTATCAAGAAAAGAAGTGACCTGTCGCGTACATGACTAGCACTGCATTTGGCCCAGCAAGGGCATCTAATTGCCTCGAGAAACACCCGTGAATCCACACATCTTAAAGGAGATTATTAATTGAAGTACCTAATTATTTGCACTGTGATCAGCCAATACAACTTAAGCAACTAATGAATAGGCATAGATTCATACGGGTAAGTAATAACCTGACCAAACATTCCAGCCACACAGAAATTCCTCCCACAACTTTGACTAGCAAATGTAAGACATTTCCCATTGGTTGATAGGCCGCAGCGATCCGCAATCGACGACAAGTCGCATCGACTTCGTACGTGAGCTGATTTATGCGTGGACCGACGACACGGCGGTACTCGGTGATAAATATAATTGTGCCCGTCTGACCCACCCAGGGAGCAGGCAACTGAGTAAGGCGATATATACAATGGCTATTGTTCTTGATATTTTCGGAAACCCCGTATTAACAAAATTAAAAGTCTTTTGTTGTGTCTTTACTGTTACTGTACTTTACTGTTACTGTGTATACTAATTGTTTCTCAATCTTAAACTGCTTTATCAATTTTGCATGATTTTTCAAATCATTTAATATCTAGATTTATTTAAATTATCTGTTCATTGATCATAAAGATGTGACCATCTCGTTGGTTTTGGTTTTTATTTACAATACACTAACCAAGTATAAAAATACAAAGTTTTCCCATCGACGTTGTTGTATTGCTAAAGTATGCGAGATTCAATCGTTGCTGCTGATGTTGTTTTTAACTAGCATCATTTTGTTACACTGACATTTTCAGTATTAGACATCTGTTTATTTATCGATATAATTATGAAGTATCGTGATTTCTAGACTAAAGGTTTCTACCTTTAGTCTAGATCTTATTATTATTAGTCGTATCTTATTATTATTATCTCTCTCTCTCTCGTATCTCTAATCGTATCTTATAATCTTTTATTAAAATTTTCGAAAACACCGTTTTTAACTTAGTAAAAAGCCCCTTTTAAAAATCTAGAAATAAATTCGGAAATGTTTTTGTTTCTTTTAATTTTGTGAGTAGTGTAGTTACAAACTCATAATGTCAAACCATTGTAATTGTCAAATTCCAATCTGACAGTAACAGCACACGTTCAAACCAAAAGTCTAGGGAATGCTGTTTTAATATCAAGAAGAAAATTTGTAGATTGTGAAGACGAATTATAGATGCTTCATTAAACTAACAGAAATAATGGCTCAATCACACCAATGTGAAAAAGTTCTTACAACAGATGTACCACAAGCAATTGTACAGGAAGACAGTTACATCGAGTACAAGCATTCTTAGCTTTACATGTTAGGAAAATTTAAATGAAACTAATTCTAGCGATATTAAGGATAAAACATATATTATGTTTGCAAAAGGATATAAAGGAGGACCTAAAGCTGTTGTCAAACGATGTTGCGGTTTATTTTGTTCATGCATTTCATAGTCTATAAAATGAAATTCCAAAATGGAAGAATTTTTCTTCGCAATGCAATCTGCACTTAAGAAGTGGTTGATGAACTCGTTGAGCTAGTCTTGCTCAGTTCAATACAATAAAAAGTTTTGTAGAATATACTGCGGTCTTTGCATCGGATAAATGATCTGCCTCTTAATATCTTTCAGTAATTCCTAAAGGATCTTCCATAATCTTTATAATGACTATATTATAATTTTACGTGTATTGTATATGTATGTACTAAGGAGAGGCCTATGTCCAGCAGTGAACTAGTAAAGGCTGTTGATGATGATATGTATGTATGTGTGTGTGTATGTAATACGTATGTGTATTGTTTATTATTATGTGGTGTGTAAAATATCTACCTATCTATTTCAATTAATTTAAATGTTTCTGCTTTTGTTAGATGGAATGTTTATGTTTACCGTGGGAGAGCCATGCTTCGGCACGAATGGGTCGGCTCGACCGGAGTGATACTACGGCCTCACAGAAAACCGGTGTTAAACAATTCTTTCGTTGCCTTTCACTGAGTGAGTGAGGTTACCGGAGCCCAAATCCCCCCCCTTCCGCTGACTTGAGCGAAAGGGACTCCAAGGGCGCCAAAGCACTTGTGACTTTTGAGTTGCAGGTGTCCATGGGCAGCGGTAGTTGCTTACTATCAGGTGACCCGCTGCTCGTTTGCCCCCTTATACTATAGAAAAAAATATATGGAAATTATGGCCCAATGAGTCTAACTATTTTCCTTCTACTACACAATAGAATTGACCGTGTTACTTTGAGGCATTTTTAAAACTGTCTCTCTTCAAAAAGCCACTTTTCCTGTTCTTTGTCAATGTGCGGGATGAACCCATTAAATGAAAAGAAAGTGAATACGTCTTTTTCCAACACAACGATTCTGAATCGTGGGTCACTCCTCGGTAGGAGATTTAAACGTCAAGCGGAACGTTTTGCTCTGACAGAACATTAAAAAATAATCATTTAAAATAGAGTGAACAAGAACCCCAATCTTGCAATATAGGCAACGAGAGGGATAGATAATAATAACCTCTATCTCTTTCTAGTCGAGCTCTGTGATTGGTTGGGAAAATTTCTAATCTCCCGCGTGTTTTACGATTAAAGCCATGCCCACTTCACGATACACAACCGCAGCTTTGCTAAACAGAGACAGAGGGAACTATCGGGCATCCATATCTCTCGTAGCCTGTATTGCTTCTACTTACAGGCAGCTGTACCCCATGTTCTCTTTATGTAATGTAAATTTTTCCTAAAATAATAAACCTTTGATTTAATCCTGTTTTCAACATAAAAAACTGTCCCAAAATCAGTCTATCCATTTAGGCATCAAGATACCATAGTTAGACAACCTCTGGATGCAAAATTCTAACATATGCCTTTTTGCATCGAGGTTTAAAAAATACTGAATTCAACTGGTGTCCAACATGCTTAGCAAGGATTTTAAACAGCACTTTGGCTGAAATGTTTTGGTCATAATTACTTAACCGCTTATTGTACTAGTGGAGATGATGCCTTATAGAGTAGAAAGTGATTAAGAAGATCATCAACAGCCTTTAATAACTCCACTGCTGCTAATAGACCTTTCCTTAGAAAAGAGGTTTTAGCCTACTAGACCACGCTGGCTAGACGGATTAGTATAGGTTTTTTTTCAAGTTTTTCTTCTCTTTGCAACTGCTGTTATCCTGCATAGCTTGCTACCTTAGTTGGCTCTTACGATACCCACGGGACGGGATTCCTAATCCGTCACCACACGGATAAAAACATACATAACTTAAAGAAGATAGTATGTGTAATAAATATTTATTTATATTTCCTTATCCAAACATTACTCCAAGAACGCTTACTACAATTATTGTAAAGGATGAATACACTACAACTGCAGAAGAACGATGATAGTACCCCAAAGCCCTTGTCATTCTATCCATTTCTATCATGGCGTCCATTGTCTCCAAGGCGGTGGGGATAATCTGGTTAGGCGGCAACAGAAAGCCGTAGGTACCACGGTCACGTAGTTCTAGAAGTACCGAGACGGGAACATTCGTAACGTTCTTCACCCAGTCGAAACTGGTGCCGCTCATTGGGTCTGAAATAAGAATTATATTTGAGTACAAGTACAAGTATTATTTATTACTAAATACGTACAAATAATAGCACTGCAAATGGAATGAAAACTTGACACAAACCCTATACCAACCCGTCTGGCCAGTGTGGTATAGTAAGCCAAACCCTCCTTTCTAAGGAGAGGTATATATCCAGCAGTGAACTTTTAAAAGCCCTGATGATGTTGATGAACATACAGGCATAAACAGAACGATGATCGTGCTTATCACACTATATTTGTCCTGAGCGTGAATCGAACCTCCGGCTTAGCAGTCAGGGTTACTAACCACTAGACCAACAGGCCGGTCAAATACATACAATCTCTCTTAACTAGAGGTCTTCAGCACTTAGTTTTATTATATGACTAGCAAGGCGCCTACAATTTATTTAAATTGTACCAAAATCAATAAAAATATATACAACAGCAAATAAAAAGTTATCAATTCCATCTATTCATTGATATTTGGAATGACATGTAGTGTGATATATACACATAAAGATAACTACTGATACTATAAACATCAATTTATTGCACAGGTTTGCGCACGGAAAATAGGATTAAAATATCGTAGAACGTTTACCGAAACTGTTTACAAATCAGCAAGCTGTTGACGCCGCTTGACGCATGTACGAAGTATTAGACATCGTGTGTAAATATATTTTAAGGTTTTAAATATAAATCTCATAAATATAACTGTATATGTTATGTTCCCTCTCCGATTGGCAGATAATGCGCGGATGGCGTAGTGGTTTAAGCGGTCGCCACGCCGCTTCCTAGTACGCCGTAGGTGTTGTGGGTTCGATCTCCACATGGGACGATACTTTGTGTGATCAAAAAATTGTCCATTTGAGTCTGGATATTCTTTGTGACTGTTTCATGTATGTTTGTAAAGTCCCCCGCAATACAGGATTTATTCCTTGTGCGTTGGGAGTTGTAAAAAAAAAGAAAAAAACTACTATACTTGCACAGCCCTTTCCCACCCACAACTTGCGATATCCTTACCCTAGCTTCCTTGCTATATCCTAACTCAAATATTTTTACTGAGTAGTTCTTGTCACAGTATACTTTCCAAGGCTATTAGTAGATAAATAATAATCATGTTAAAAAAACAGACTTTTGAATAACTGAGATGAGATGACCCTGATGACCTAGTGAAAGATCATAAGAGTCGCATATATACAGTAAATATCTTTTTCAGTGCCTAACACAGAACAGTCTATCTTCACCAGATGGGCTTATGACTTATGTACGCAGGTTAGTAACGCGACCCGTGAGAAAAAATATTACTGTAAGAACAACTGATGAGTAATAAGATTTCAACAAAACATGGTCGAGGCGATGAAACGTCTGTCGGTAACGACGCTTAAGAAACCGTTGTTATAATTCCAATTTGATTTCTTTACTACTCCCGTATGAAATTTTTTGTATTCCTAGAATACATTGACGTTAGTAATTCGGCCGGGAATGCAAGGCCATACGTACATATATTTCTGATTAATATTATACTTACATAAAACATTAGCCGATAGTCCTGCAGTGTATTCAGTACCATATCTTTCTTTCAAAGCATCGGCGGCTCTTATTGAAATTTCGAACTGAAAAATAAAACAGTTGAAGGGTTAAGATAGAAGTTCAGCTCAGTAATTGAAATGAGAAATTACATCGACTAAGTCTCGTATATTATTGACAATTTATCCTTGATCGTGACATATTAACTATAATCGGTGCCCATGAAACGTGTTCAGTTATTAAAATTATAGTAAAATTACATTAACAGAGCTGTTTTATTTGAACTTGTTACTATATGTTGGTAAAATAAATATACAAGTACCTTATTATTACTTAACTTATTTAATGAACAAAAGGGTTTTAGTCACTCAAGGAAAGTAAAGCGTATAAATTTTGTTTATAATGTAAATATTTTGTATTTAATTAAGCAGGAAATGTTCAAAACATGCTTTGATATTATCTTTGATGATGATATTTTATGAACAGCTATCACTTTGCACCCCACACGGAGACATCTGGTTCTTAATAATACAGAGACTGTGATATAGTAATCAAAATGCTGACAAACACACTTATATGTAATATTTCTATATACATATATATTATATATATATCTGTCTTGTAATCGATACCATGATCTGTGGTTTAATAGTCAGTTTTTTTTTTATTTACCTAGTAAGGGATTAGAAATAATCCGTGTGTATATTCAGATGCATTATTTAAGTATGAACACAGTCAATATGGCAGTACAATATGGCATAATCAAGATATAAATTAAACTTTCATCTCATCAGCACACTTACATTCTTAATTGTCAAGAAGAACAAAATGTCATTTAACAAACCTAAAATTCGGATTCAGAAAGGTCAGGTTTAGCAATACTATCTCTATCAAAAATAAATATATAATTAGTTATTAAATAATCATTAAAATAAACAATTTGCTTACCATGTTAGGAAAGTTTCCTGATAGTAACGATTGTTCAGGTGTTACATGACTGTAAGGAATAACAAACATCTGGCCCCAAGAATGGAAAGCCAGGTAATAAATGAGCCTGCCTTCTTGATTTACTCGCAGCGTATAATCGCGAATAGCCCTTGCTTCAGGTTCTGAGAATGGGCTAGGTCCAGCAAACAAATTACTACAAGGATTGCTTGTAGCTCCTACAGCTAAAATCATCATAAAACATCACATATACTCTATAAGTTTTACTTAAACAGGTATTCAAGTTTTAAGTGTTGTCGGAAAATATTCATCAGCAATAGAAAATCGTAAAATATTTGACTGATGTAAACATACTCATCCAATAGAAATCAAAGTTTCTGTTAAGATCAACACCGTTGCTATTGTCATCGCTATCTGGGCAACTTGTGAAACTTGCTGGACTTCGATTTTTCCTCCACATACGATTCTGAAACACAGATAAGAAATTCAATTTAAATTTTAATGGTTCACAAAATTTTGTAGCCTATAACTTTCAAAAATCATTAATTGTTGAATCATCATCAAAAATCATTATTTAAATCAAGAGCAGTTGAGCTAATTAAGAATTAACTACTTCTAAATTCAGATGAACTAGATTGAAAAAGTTATTGTTTTTCTGAATATAGTTTATATATTATATTATTAGTTATACTTGTATGTATTGTCGATTCACCCATACGATAAAACTCAGAAGTTGTCTATTAGATTGTTTTAAACGCGATAATCTTTGGAACTACCAGAAAGATTGGAATAATTCTTCTTCTGTTAGATAGAGTATTTAATATACGTAGGTAGCATCATACGAGTATTATAGCCTGTAGGGGCGGTGCAGCAACCTTGTACGTCTGGTATACACATCAGCACTTTAGTTTTTAATGTAAGCTTGTATTTATGATATATCAATTAGTTAATCCTTTAGATTAAAATACTTAATCGTATGACGACAATGTATGTGTAACACTCACATGAGTAAATGTGTAATTATATCCATCAGGATTCACAACAGGGAATATATGCCACTCTAAATTTTCTGCCAAAGCCCTTATTGCCGGATCAGTGCTTGTTAAAAACTCTTTGATAATCCAAGTAACTGTTGCTGTAGAGATCCATTCGCGAGCATGAAGCGTACCTTCTATTATGCCCATTACTTTTTCACTTCGTTCTGGATGGTAATTTATTATTACTCCTTTGATAGAGTTCCCTAAAACACTTGTACCCTTATCTACTGTTTTGACGACATCAGGGTGATTTTCTTGTAATTCATCCAACCAAGTGTATATTCTATCAAGGTTATGATATTCAGACCAAGAGTATGACAAGTACGATACAGAGGATCTCGATGAAACTGGTTTCATTTGTTGGTCAATAGCACTGGAAGAATAAAATGGCAGATGTTTATACATTACCAACATGTTTTACTGTTTGACATGACTAGATTTCGAGACTATTATATGACTATTATAGATATTATATTTGACATGACTCGAGAGTCATGAATTGGGGGTAGGATTGTGAGACTTGAAGTAGTGATTATTAACTGTATTGAGTGACCAGCATGCAGTTCAGACTAGAACCCAATTTTACATATTTGAGACGAGTTCAGATGACGTGTTAGACAACAACGACTTACTCTGAGCACACTGCGAGAGCTTAAAAATGCTCTCAAGATGAAATTTTCAATATAGTTTATGTATATAACTTGATGTCCAGCATGCCAAACCGCATAACTGCACTAATACGCCGCGTGGAGTTACGTAACTAAAGTATGAAAATCAATGTACCCAAATTTCAAAAGTTGTGAAGCTGTAGGAAAACATGGTGTTTTTCTATTTTGGTTTTAAGATGAAAAGAGATCATTTTTTTCTTTTTTTGAAAGTTTTACGAAAATAACACCAAGTGGAAAATAAACTTACTTATTTTTATTCAAAGTGTAGTTAATTGTCTAAAAAAAAATTATAAATACTAAGCTGGCGCTATAAGTGTCCTAGATTTTCAGGTATCCTTTTGTAATCTGGACTCATTACTTTTGGGTGTAGTATTTCCTATGTTATTAAGTAACTAATGTTTATATTATGAAGCACACTGACCTTTGAATGTCAGAAATCAATTCCTGACTTTGGATATCACTTGACTTCAAAACCCGAAGGAAGTTATTTATGTTCTCGGGAGGCACGTTGATTCTGAGATCTAGATTCACGGCAAGGTAATCGTCCCAAAACTCTCCAAGCCCATTGTCTCTTATGTATTGTAAGCGATTCACTGCAGCTTCATTTCTTGGTGTAACTTCATATACTTTATACCCATCGTAAGATTTTTTCTCAGCGCTCACCGCGGCAAATATAAATAATGAAAAAAATATATATTTCATTTTCACTGATTGATTAAGTACGACTATCGGACATTGAGGAGCACGTTACTTTGATGATTTAATATTAATCGATTTATAGATAATATGAAACCAGTATATCACTGTACGTCTAAGCGATTAGCTAGTAGCACATTTTGGATTCAAAATACCGGTAACCTTGAGTCCATTATGTACTTGAATATTAGTCTGTAATCAGCAAAAACCTAATCAGGCAAATAAAAAGCTATTGGTAGTGATAATTAAATGATTGATGAGGGTATTATTTTATGTATGCTGTATATCACATCTAAGGTACTTTAGTATGTCATCTAAACATAGAGTTCAAATTACATTACAGACGAAATTTTGCTGTAATTGGTCATGATTTAAAATCAATCCGTGATCTTCCTATTTAACATGACACGACTTTATTAAAGTAACCACCATTTATCGTAGAAACTACTTGTACTATAATTTTGATTGTCAACGGTCACCAGTCTTACGGACTCATTTGGAAAAATAAAATTTCGAACGATTGGGTTCAGTATAGATTTACATTTGAGTTACGACGGTGGTGTTTTATCTTGGTTGATATCCAAGTGAAGGTTCTGCTTCAGTGAATCGCATCAAGAGCCTCTAATCATTTACATTAGGAAGACTATTGTAAAAAAAAATTTAGGAAATAAATTGGTAAATAAAAACAAGTTTTACTGTACCACATGTTATACTAATGAGTTAAAGAAGAAAGACGTGAAGGATAGACAAAATTTAAAATGTATTATACAAATAAGGATATAATAAAACCCAATACAATCATTAGAATACATGAAACCACTCTACAGGAGCCTGCTCCTGAAGAGTAGTATCCTAAATTTCTTGTAGCTTCATCCATTTCTATAAGAGCATCCATGGTCTCCATTGCAGTAGGAATAATCTGATCTGCTGGCAAGAGGAACCCGTACTGACCGCGGTCGCGCAGTCCAAAAAGTAGAGCGACGGAAACCCTCGTTGCGTTCTTAACCCAGTCAAAGCTACTTCCACTCATTGAATCTGTAATACATATATTATAGGTATTTAACTAAAACTTTTATAATTAGGTTGTTTTTTTATTTATTTATCATATAAAACCAAAAATACAGGAAGTTTAAAAACATAACACGATAAACCACAAAGGTTTGTGGAGTGTTACACTGACAGACAGTATAGCAAATTTACAGCTATTTTACATCAGTAGATATTATAATATGTCTCTATAGGCCATCTTATACCGTATTACATATGTACTATGAGACACTTTGAGAACTAGATAAATGTATCTCTTAAATGTTAATACTTTAACTATATCTAAAAAGCAAATTTGTTAAGATTAAATCTATCCTGTTCGCAATTCAGAGAGAGGGTGAACGAACCCTAAATTATCGCTTATTCATAGTCCACTAATAAAATATTTGGATTACGATCAATATTTTATAAAAACATTTATTATATAATAACAATTTCAATGGGTTACTCAATATTTAAGTCGCAATTTAATCATTTATTGATTATTTCAGATACATACCAATTACTAAAATGGTTTTTATTTGATTGATTGTACAAAAAATAAACTGCATAAATGAGATGGAATCAAGTATTACCAAACACATTTTACGTTAAAGCTATAATTAAATATTAATTACTATACTTACACATAACGCTAGACGAAAGCCCAACCTTGTATTCAGTATTGTGTCTTTTCTTTAGAGCTTCTGCGGCTCTTAATGAAATATCAAACTGAAAAAGATGTCGTTATTTAGGTGAAATGTTTTAGTTATAAAAACATAATGTCCTTTTTTTTTCATTTCTTTTTTTTAGGTTGTTTTAGTTCAGTAGGTAAAAAAAGGTTAAAAGGTAGGTTAAAAAAACCTACACAAGGAAATGAGGTAGACGCTTAAAGAGTGCTTCAAAAATGAAGTTCTACAATTCGTTCTCAGTATCTTCTGCCTGTGACAGTAATAGGGTTGAAGACAAATATGTGCATTACTAAAATTCAGGTTTGTTAAATATGTATTCATCAACAGCCTTTAATACTCCACTGCTAGACATAGGCCTCTCTTTAGAAGCCTACTACACCACGCTGGCCAGACGGGTTGGTATAGGGTTTGTGTCAAGTTTGGGTGCTAGGCTAGAAAACCTCCCCGTGGTGCACCCTGGAAACGCTGGCGATGGCACTGTTTCCTCCTTGTCCACTTGGAGGAGAGGATTATCGCCAGCGGCTAATATTCTAGCAGAAGAGGAAGCAGGGAGGGCAAGGCCTGGTCCAGCAGGGTGGGCGTGTCTGCCGGTTGCCCTGCTGGCTCTTCGCTCTTCGGAGCATGGAGGAGGAAACCTCGGTAAAAAACCGGATGGCGGGGCCCTGTAGGGGCCACAGTTTCTCCGCTGACAGCGGTGGAGAAAGGAGGACGGGCTCGGCGTGTACTGACACTACCACCGAGCAGGCAGGGGGACGTAGTCTCCCTGTCAACCGTCGGCATATCGTAATCCCGAGAAGAGCGCTGTGGTTAAGTCTCGCGGCTCTGATCGGGGGCGAGGGTCTTGGCTTAACCGCCCGGACCGCGAGGAAGATAACCTCTCTAAAAAATTCCCCGAATCCCGTGTTCTGGTGCGTGGCCAGGGGATGCATGGCTGATGGGAAGTTCAGTCTCGAGCGCACTCCAAGCCGAGGTACCTGCGGACCCCTCGGTTGGGTTAAAAACTTACGCTTGCCCGGGTAATGGGGGATCTCTGCCCGGGTGGACCTTTAGTTCTCCCCCACTCGTGGGATTATTATGGAAAATATTAATTTAAATAAAAAGGAAACGATCAGAAAAAAAAAAACACACAACAGACAAAGGCAAGCCTAACGGACAAGGAGACGAACAGGAGGAACAGTGGAGTGGATGGGTCGTCCACTGAGGGTGAGGTGGCGTCGGGAACGCCTACCTCGGTGGGGCTCCCAGAAGTCAGTCTGACGCTGGTCTCTGGGAGCCGAAGAGCATCAGATCGGCTGCGTTCCGGATCCGCCGTTTCGTCTAATGGCGCGGAGGCCATGGAGGCGGAGCGAAGCGACAGCCGGAAACGCGGACGCTCCAGGGACGAGGAAACCGACACGTCCCAGGAGATGATGCCACCAAAGGTGGCAAGCAGCCGCCGAGGGAGGGCACGCAAATCGGCCTCGGTCTCGACCCCGTCAGGCTCCGCGTTCTCAAACGCGGAGTCGTACAGGAGTGTACGAGTGGACGGCGAGGCCGTAGCGGAGGAGGAGATCGCGGATCTCCTGCTCAAGGTTCGGGAGCCGGTGAGGGGCCCAGGCTCCCGTGTCCGTGCAGGAGAGGGCGAAAGCGGCGGTGGCCGTCATCCACAAGGTGGCCACCAAGTCCGTAAACCTAAAGGGCTCGTTTGTGAGGGCCCTTAAGGACTCCTCCTCCGCTTTGTCGGAGGTCGTGGAGGGACTGGTGGGCGATGTCTCTCGCCTACAGTTGGCCAACGAGAGACTCACGGAGCGGGTGAACGAGCTGAGCGCTCAGTTCGCCCGCTTCCAGGCGAACCTTCCCGAGCGGGAGGCCCCGTCCGCGCCCCAGCCTGTCCCTATCGCGACCTCAGGGGTACCTGACGCCCAACTGCGGGGAAATCTCGACGCAGTTGGGCGTATGCTGGACGGCCGTCTGGCCGGCCTGGAGGCGAGACTGCCCCCTGCGCCGGTTGTGCGCCCCCCGCTCGCGTCGTCTCAGCGGCCCAAGGCCGCTGTTTCGACTGCGCTCCCCGTTGTGGGAGGCCGCGTCTCCTACGCGGCGGCGGCATCGGCCCCGACTCCACCGGCTCCTCAGGGGCCGAGGAGAGGGGCCAAGGCACCGGCCAAGGCGCCGGCCTAAAGCGGCGCCGAGGAGTGGAGTGGCTTTCCCTCCGCTCCCCACTCCGACATCCCTGCCGGGCCCCTCCACATCTGCCCCCTCCAACGAGGGTTGGCAAGAGGCGAGGGGCTCAAAAAAAAAGTCCTGAAGGCGGGCTAGAAGAGCTGCCCAAAAAGCGGCCCAAGCCCAGCCTTCATCACCGGTGACAACGGCTTCTACTAAGAGGCCGCGGAAGCTGCAGCCGCCCAAAACCGCGGCTGTAGTAGTCACGCTGTCGCCGGAGGCGGCCAGTGGCGGGCTGACGTATGCGGCCCTCTTCAAGGGGGCCCGGCCCGGTCTCGCGCCGCTGAGTTCGGGGCAGCAGGGATGAGGCTGCGCCGCGCCCAGACGGGAGCTCGGATCTTCGACTTCCCTGGGGCCGAAGGCGCGACGACGGCCGATAAATTCGCCGAGAAGTTGCGGGGAATTTTTGCTGCCGAGGACGGTGTTAAGATCGCCAGGCCCACAAAATGCGCGGAACTGCGCATCTCGGGCCTGGACGACTCTGTAACGTCGGAGGGTGTCCGCGATGCAGTCATGGAGAAGACTGGGTGCATCGCGGACACCATCAGAGTCGGCACCGTCCGTCCGGGCCCGGGAGGCCTCGGTGCGGTGTGGGTGAGCTGTCCCGTGGCGTCGGCCAAAGTATTGGGCGACGCCGGAAGCATTCTCGTCGGCTTCGTAAATGCCAGAATCACGGTTCTGGCTGCGAGGCCGATGAGGTGCTTCAAGTGCCTAGCCGCGGGACACACTCGCACCAAATGCGAGAGTTGCTTTGACTGCAGCGGTCTGTGCTTCCGCTGCGGTCAACCCGGGCACAAGGCAAGGCAGAGCACTCTGCCGCCCCCCACTGTCCGGTGTGTGAGGCGGGCAAAAAGCCCGCCAATCACATGATGGGGCAGGGGGGCTGCAAGCCTCCCCGCACTTCTCGGCAAACGCCGGGGGCTAGCCTGCCGACCCAGGCCGCCTCCGACGTCAATCATGCGTCGACGCCGACGCCCATGGAGGAGTTTATAGAGACGATCCAGTAATGGATCAAGTCTCCAACCTCCTGGTCCAGACGAATCTGAACCACTGTGCTGCGGCGCAGGATCTCTTCCTGCAAACCATGGCACAGTGATCGATAGGTGTTGCCGTAGTCGCGGAGCCTTATTTTGTCCCTCCCCGTCCAAACTGGATGGGTGATCGGGACGGCTCCGTGGCCATCGTCGGCTCCAAGGCGGCTTCCCCGCCCTTGTCGCTAAGAGACAAGGGTACTGGATATGTTGCCTTTGATTGGGGGGGAATCACCATTTATGGTGTATATTTCTCCCCCAACCGGAGTTTGAACGACTTTGAGGTCTTCCTTAACAACTTGGAGGCCTCGATGCGGCGACTAGTGTCTGGGCACGTCCTCGTGCTGGGGGACTTCAACGCAAAGTCCATTGCGTGGGGTTCCCTGTCTCCGCAGGCCCCGACCGAGGAGGTCGACATGGGGGCTGGTCGCTTCTGCGATGCGATTACGCAGATTTGCGATGCGGCCATGCCCCGCGTTCGTAGTTGTCGGCCTCCAAGGAAGGAGGTCTACTCTGGTGGTCCCAGGAGTTGGCGGACCTCCGTGCGGCCTGTGTACGTGCCCGGAGGTCCCTCACCCGTAGTCGGCGATGTCACCGCGGGGTCGGTGAGGAGGTAGACCGGCTTCATGAGGAGTACCGAGAAGCTCGGAAAACTCTGAGGCTGGCCATCTGCCGCCCCAAGGATGTCAGTAGAGAGGAGATGCTGGAGAGTCTGGGGTCGCTCTTATCGTGCGGTGCGTCAAAAGCTCCGCACGTCGGGCCCCCCCCTTACGGAGACTCTCCAGCCCAGCTTCCTGCAGGAAGTGGTCGAGGGCCTATTCCCGCAGCGGGCGGAGCACACACCCCCGTCGATGGCTGCATCAGCCGGAGACGACGGGGGCGGCGAGGTTGATTTTCCGCCCGTCAGGGAATCGGAGTTGGGGGCGGCTGTTCTACGGATTCGACCCAAGAACACTGCCCCCGGGCCGGACGGGGTTCCAGCCCGAGTGATGGCCCGAGCCCTCGACTACATGTCGGACCACCTCAGGGGGGTGTTGGACGCTAGCCTGACGTCCGGACGCTTCCCTGAGCGCTGGAAGTGCGGGAAGCTGGTCCTGCTGAGGAAGCCGGGACGGCCTACCGATTCGGTCGCGGCCTATAGGCCTATCGTGTTGCTGGACGAGGCGGGTAAACTTTTTGAGAGGGTACTCTCTGCCCGCATCGTCCGGCACCTCTGCGAGGTTGGCCCCGATCTGTCGGACGCCCAATTCGGTTTCCGAGAGGGGCGTTCGACGATCGATGCCGTAATTAGGCCGCCTTAGGGCCGTGACCGAGGAGGCCGTGAGCTGCGGCGGAGTGGTGATGGCGGTGTCTTTGGACATCGCCAACGCCTTCAATAGTCTGCCATTCAGCTGCATCAGGGAAGCGCTCCGCTACCACGGAGTGCCGGAGTACCTGAGGCGGCTGGTGGCAGACTATCTTGAGGAGCGAACCGTCATGTACGAGGACCGAGATGGCGTCTTGAGACGCAGGGCCATGTCGTGCGGTGTTCCGCAGGAGTCTGTCCTAGGACCACTCCTGTGGAACATTGGATACGACTGGGCCCTACGAGGGCGTCTCCCCCCCGGGCTGGGTGTACTCTGCTACGCAGATGACACTTTTGTCACGGCCCGGGGGGCTAACTTCCAGGAGGCGGCGCGCCTGGCCGCCACGGGAGTTTCCCTGGTGGTCGGGCGCATTGAGGCGTTGGGTTTGCGGGTGGCCCTGGATAAGACGGAGGCCCTATTATTTCATGGGCCCCGTCGTGGTCCACCCGCCGGCGCGTCAATCGAGGTCGGCTCGGTCCTCATACCGGTCCGGTCCCAGATGAGGTACCTGGGTCTGGTCCTAGACGGTAGGTGGCTCTTCGACGAGCACTTCCAACAGCTTGGTCCGAAGCTGGTGGACACTGCCTCCGCCCTAGTGCGACTTTTGCCCAATTTGGGCGGGGCCAGTGTTCGAACGAGGCGGCTGTACGCGGGGGTTGTCCGGTCCATGGCGCTTTATGGTGCACCGGTGTGGGTGGCGGCTCTGACCGCCCCGAATAGAGGATATTGGCGGTCAGAGCCATACGCGGATACCGCACGGTGTCCACCGAGGCGGCTTGCGCTTTGGCCGGAACACCCCCGTGGTATTTGGAGGCGGAGGTGCTCGCCGAAGTTTATCGGCGAGTGGCTGACTTCCGGGCGGAGAGCGGATTTCGCCTTCCGCCCGAAGATGTGCGCGAGTGGCGCGAAGCCGCTCGCCGAGCCACCATGGTCAGATGGTCGTTCCGGCTGGAGACTCCACGCGCTGGCTTCGCCGCCGTGGAGGCTCTCCAGCCGGTCATAGCCGAGTGGGAAGGCGGCAGCACTCCGATGACTGCAGTGAGGACTCGGCCCAGCACACGCTGGCGGTCTGCCCCGCATGGGCGACGCAGCGCCGGGCCCTCACTGCAGTCATCGGAGCAGATCTCTCGCTACCGGCCGTAATTCGCTCCATGGCCGGTAGCGACAGTTGTTTTACCGCGGTCGCAACCTTCTGCGAGGAGGTAATCTCGCAGAAGGAGGCGGCGGAGAAGGCCCGGGAGGACGACCTCCACTCGGACCTGATCCGCCGCCGGAGAACCGGGGGGCGGAGGCGCGCTTACCTGCGCCTCATGCCGCCCTGAGTGTGGCCGCTGGTGGACGGGATGGGTTCTCCCCTCCACCCGCATTAGTTGTCCAGCCGCGAGGGGGCGGCGTCCGCGTGTGCCGGACGCCGCCTAAAGAGAGGGTCCACTGAGACGGAGCCCGCGCCAGGAGCGGGCCGGCGCTGGGAGGGGTCCAGAAGGAGATAGCTACCTGGACCCTTCCTAAACTGGAAGCGCAAAGAGGGCACACCGTGTGGTTTTAGTCGGTTCGAGTCCGACACACCGCCCCGCCGAACGAGAGCCCCGGCGGGGTGACGGTCCGAGGGGATTTCCACACGTAAAAAAAAAAAAAAAAAAAAAAGGGTTTGTGTCAAGTTTCCCTTCTTTATGCAGTGCTGGTGTCCTGCGTTGTTTTGCGCCCTTAGTCGGCTCTTACGACACCCACGGGATGAATTGGGGTAGCGACATTCCGTATTCTTAATCCGTCACTACACGACAAATCAAACAAAATATACATCGCAGTCCCCGACGAACAAAATCGTAATAGGAAAATAACAATTTTACAGGAGCAAATAAAAACTGAATATCTTGAATACTATCAAGACTAAAAAGAAGATTCTTTTATCAAAAATAAGGAAATATTTTTTTGCACTAGATTTTTACTAAATTTTTATCATAAATTTTCTTTATCAGTAAGAAAATTGTGAAAATGTCCATTACTGAAATAAGCTATGGAAAAAATTAACGCAAACTAACTTTACGATAGTGTTCGACTGTAATCACAAATCGGTGTTGCTGTAGTAATCGTTCATTATGATATTGTTCCATGGTAAATATGAATATACTTTATATTTGTAAAATGACATTGCAATCTTATTCGATGATATAACTGACTTTAATATTACGGTAAACATAAATTACATGCTTATTCGATGATCATTTTTAGGTGTTATAACCATTTCGGTACCTATGTATAAATTCTGATTCTGATTCTGTCATTTTTCCCTCGAACAATATGGTAATAGCCGGTTACTCTAAAATGTTGACTTTTGAGATTTGGTAATAGGTTTTTGCGTTATTGATCGTGTAATTTTTTCACTTATGTTATACGTTGAACAAAAACATAAAGATCATTATTGAATGGATAAATCCAAAAGTATTCATCGCCCGATCATAAAAAAAATTCAATGATTGTAATAGGGTGTGTAGATAACGAATATCTAATAAACCCGATTCTATCGTAATAGCGATTACCATAGTGTTCGTCGGGGACTGCGAGTCATATTAATAAAAAAAATTTTTTTTTAATATTATTGTAAATTGTATTTTTACCATTTCACCATAATCGCTTCCCAGCAATGAATGGTCAGAAAACAAATGACTATGAGGCACAATAATCAACTGGCCATACGAATGGAAACCGATGTAGTAGATTAGCTTGCCTTCCTGATCAATCTTCAACATATAGTCACGAACGGCTCTGGTTTCCGGTTCAGAAAATGGTCGAGGACCAGCAAATGAGTTACTACAAGGGTTCTTTGCTATCCCAACATCTAAAATAAGATTATACAAGTTAAAATATTTGTTTCTACATAATATAATGCAATCTTTAATTATGATAATGAATTAAATTATTTAGGAATACACGATAGCATATATACATACTCATCCAATGGAAGTCAAAGTTTCTGTTGAGATCAACTCCTTTACTCATATCACCCCTTCCTCTAGGGCATGTAGTAAAATTATGGGGGCTTCGGTTCTTTTTCCACATTCGATTCTAAAAAATATAGTTTCATTAGCACTTTGAGAAACTTCTGGAAGGATGTGAGGATGTAATTTTCGCACAACTAAATCATATTTCATTTACTTCAGAATTTTTGTCAGTAAAAAACTATTAACGGTTACGATATTTACATCTGAGAAAGTATATTCATAGCCATCAGGATTTACTATAGGAAAGATGTGCCATTCAAAGTTTTTTGCCAAAGCTCTTACTGCGGAATCATTGCTCGTTAAAAATTCTTTGATAATCCAGGTAAGTGTTGCTGCAGAGATCCAATCTCGAGCATGAAGTGTACCTTCTAGTACTCCAATCCGTTTCTTTTTTCGTTCAGGGTGGTGGTTTATGACTATTCCTTTGATGGATCTTCCTAAAACAGAACGACCCTTGTCTACAATTTTAACTACTTTAGAATAGTTTTGTTGTAGTTCATCTAACCAATCATATATGTTTCTGAGGTTCTGATATTCATTCCAAAAATATGTAAGATTCGATTTAAGATATGTCCTTGCAGTAGCAGGTTTAAGTTGCTGGTCAATTGTTCTGAAATATAATAGTATTCTTTATTTGAATCACGTTGATAAGATAAAGCCATTTATAATTTTGAAATTAGTTTTAGTATTTGGAATGTGGTAACGGATTAAGAATATAGAGTTTCACCATCCCTATTCATCTCGTGGGCCGGCTAAGCGAGCAAATTACGCAGGATAATAGAACTGCAAAGAGAACTAAAAAAAAACCCTATACCAACCAGTCTGGCCAGCGTGGTATAGTAGTCCAAAACCTAATTTCTAAGGAGAGGCCTATGTCCAGCAGTCGACTATTAAAGGCTGTTGATGATGATGATGATTTTGAATATTATTTAAGTATATGATGTAAAACAAAGAACAATTTTACCTTTGAATGTCTGGCATCACTTCCTCATTTTCAATACCAGATATCCTTAAAAAGTCAAGAAAATTTTGCAAGTCATCAGGCGATACTATTATTCTGGCTTCTTTATTTATTTCAATATTATCATCCCAAAATTCTCCAAGCCCATTCCAACTTAAATTTTCCAAGTGACTCACTGCGGTTTCATCTTCTGGTATAACTTTGAACATTTTATATCCATCATATGATTGTTTTACGCCACTTACAGAAGCAAAGATTACCGCTACAAAATGAATCATGATGAATTTCATATTTATCTTTAAACACGCCAACTACTATCGAACGCTATGGAGCATTGTAAATTTAAATTGCTGAAATACGAGTATACTGGAAAGTTGAGATCAATATTTTGTAAATAAATAACGTGCTGTTGTGACATTTTTGTAGTATTTGGGTCATAGACAGATCTTCATATTTCATAGATAACAAGCAATGTCAAACGTATACAGTCTTATTTCAGCCAAGCATTAAAAATAGAGAAAAGGCGTAAATTAATTACAGAGAAAATATATGTACTATTAATCGATTAGAGGGCTCGGACTTTTGAGCAAGAGACTGTTCGGGATCCTCACGTACTTGAACTATTCCTTATCCATCTGTCTAAGCATTATTTAGTCATACGCATACTATTTTTTTTTTTTTTTTTTTTATTTAAAAAAAGACAACTCCCGCACTAGGAATAAATCCTGTGTCGCGGGGGACTTTACAAACATACATGAAACGGACACAGAGTACACCCAGACTCAGAACAACAATTTGTGGATCACACAAAGTGTCGTCCCATGTGGGGTTTGAACCCACAACACTCAGCGCAGTAGGAAGCGGCGTGGCGACCGCTTAAACCACTACGCCATCCGTGCAGTCAATCTATTGTTCCTTTCATCATATTCGTACTACCTTTTTACTTTTCTTTATACTTAAAATCTTGCCCGGTAGATAGAAATAGGTTTTCCCTCTATTATGTTAGTGGTGTTAAAAAGTAGTAGTGGTAAAAAAACTACGCAGAACACCAGCATTGCAGAGAGAAGGAAAACTTGACACAAACCCTATGCCAACCCGTCTGGCCAGCGTGGTATAGTAGGCCAAAACCTCCTTTCTAAGAAGAGGCTTATGTCCAGCAGCATATATTTTATACTTGTATAGCATACACTATGGATACTGTAATAACAAAAAAGTAATAAATATGTGGGCTACTTATTAAAAGAAATAAAAGCTCAATCTAACACGGTCATCCACTGTACAATTCAACCAATATAGGTCAAAATTAATTAATCTTTTTACTTCGAGGGACCAAATATTCTGAAGACATATCGTTAAACCCCTTTAGTACTTTCGCATTGTCGAATAAAAAGTTGCTTACATTAATCATGATGAAACTATTTATTTGTGTTCTTCTATCCAAAATATACCACAGACATTACAAATACATTTATGGCAAAAGACGAATGCACTTCCACTCCAAATGAGCGGTAATAACCCAATTTTCGGGTAGTCTTGTCCATTTCTAGCAGAGCGTCCATTGCTTCTGTAGCAGTAGGAACAATCTGATCTGGTGGTAGGAGAAAACCGTACTCCCCACTGTCGCGCAGTTGTAGAAGTAACGAGACAGGAACTTTTGTTGCGTTCTTCACCCAATCGAAGCTGCTACCACTCATTGCGTCTGAAAAAGAAAAAGTATATTTAAAATATAGTCATCATCACATCAACAGCCTTGAATAATCCACTGCTGGATATAGGTCTCTCCTTAGAAAGGAGGTTTTGGCCTACTATACCACGCTGGCCAGACGGGTTGGTATAGGGTTTGTCGCGGCCTCGAGCCCTCGACTACATGTCGGACCACCTCAGGGGGGTGTTGGACGCTAGCCTGGCGTCCGGACGCTTCCCTGAGCGCTGGAAATGCGGGAAGCTGGTCCTGCTGCAGAAGCCGGGACGGCCTGCCGAATCGGTCGCGGCCTATAGGCCTATCGTGTTGCTGGACGAGGCGGGCAAACTTTTTGAGAGGGTGCTCTCTGCCCGCATCGTCCGGCACCTTTGCGAGGTCGGCCCCGATCTGTCGGATGCCCAATTCGGTTTCCGAGAGGGGCGTTCGACGATCGATGCCGTGATGCGCCTTAGGGCCGTGACCGAGGAGGCCGTGAGCTGCGGCGGAGTGGTGTTGGCGGTGTCTTTGGACATCGCCAACGCCTTCAATGGTCTGCCATTCAGCTGCATCAGGGAAGCGCTCCGCTACCACGGAGTGCCGGAGTACCTGAGGCGGCTGGTGGCGGACTATCTTGAGGAGCGAACCGTCATGTACGAGGACCGAGATGGCGTCTTGAGACGCAGGGCCATGTCGTGCGGTGTTCCGCAGGGGTCTGTCCAAGGACCACTCCTGTGGAACATTGGATACGACTGGGCCCTACGAGGGCGTCTCCCCCCCGGGCTGGGTGTAATCTGCTACGCGGATGACACCTTACTCACGGCCCGGGGGGCTAACTTCCAGGAGGCGGCGCGCCTGGCCGCCACGGGAGTCTCCCTGGTGGTCGGGCGCATTGAGGCGTTGGGTTTGCGGGTGGCCCTGGATAAGACGGAGGCCCTATTATTTCATGGGCCCCGTCGTGGTCCGCCCGCCGGCGCCTCAATCGAGGTCGGCTCGGTCCTCGTACCGGTCCGGGCCCAGATGAGGTACCTGGGTCTGGTCCTAGACGGTAGGTGGCTCTTCGACGAGCACTTCCGACAGCTTGGTTCGAAGCTGGTGGACACTGCCTCCGCCCTAGGGCGACTTTTGCCCAATTTGGGCGGGGCCAGTGTTCCCACGAGGCGGCTGTACGCAGGGGTTGTCCGATCCATGGCGCTGTATGGTGCACCGGTGTGGGTGGCGGCTCTGACCGCCCCGAATAGGGCGCGCCTCTGGCGCCCCCAGAGGATATTGGCGGTCAGAGCCATACGCGGATACCGCACGGTGTCCACCGAGGCGGCCTGTGCCTTGGCCGGAACACCCCCGTGGGATTTGGAGGCGGAAGTGCTCGCCGAAGTTTATCGGCGAGTGGCTGACTTCCGGGCGGAGAGCGGATTTCGCCCTCCGCCCGAAGACGTGCGCGAGTGGCGCGAAGCCGCTCGCCGAGCCACCATGGTGAGATGGTCGTTCCGGCTGGAGACTCCACGCGCTGGCTTCGCCGCCGTGGAGGCTCTCCAGCCGGTCATCGCCGAGTGGGCAGGGCGGCAGCACGGGACCCTTTCCTTCCGGCTGACGCAGGTGCTTTCCGGGCACGGTTGCTTCGGAAAGTACCTGTACTCGGTCGCTAGGAGGGAATCGAGTCCCGCCTGCCACCACTGCGACTGCAGTGAGGATTCGGCCCAGCACACGCTGGCGGTTTGCCCCGCATGGGCGACGCAGCGCCGGGCCCTCACTGCAGTCATCGGAGCAGATCTCTCGCTACCGGCCGTAATTCGCTCCATGGCCGGTAGCGACAGTTGTTTTACCGCGGTCGCAACCTTCTGCGAGGAGGTAATCTCGCAGAAGAAGGTGGCGGAGAAGGCCCGGGAGGACGACCTCCACTCGGACCCGATCCGCCGCCGGCGAACCGGGCGGCGGAGGCGCGCCTATCACCGCCTCATGCAGCCCTGAGTGTGGCCGCGGGTGGACGGGGTGGGTTTCCCCTCCACCCGCATTAGTTTGGCCAGCCGCGAGGGGGCGGCGTCCGCGTGTGCCGGACGTCGCCTAAAGAGAGGAAAATTTTGAGACGGAGCCCGCACTAGGAGCGGGCTGGCGCTAGGAGGGGTCCGGATGTCTTAATAACAGCTGTTCCCGGATCCCTCCTGTTACAGGCGCAGAGTGGCACACCGTGTGGTTTTAGTCGGTCCGAGTCCGACACACCACCCCGCCGCAAACCCCGGTGGGATGACGGTCCGAGGGGATTTCCACACGTTAAAAAAAAAAAAAAAAAGGGTTTGTGTCAAGTTTTCCTTCTCTTTGCCGCTGTTGTCCTGCGTAGTTTGTTCCCTTAGTCGGCTTTTACGACACCTAGGGGATGAATAGGGGTGGTGACACTCCGTATTCTTAATCCGTCACCACACGGACTCAAAATATATAGTCAGTTCTAGCAAAAATAGAGCCATAGCGACCTTTTGAACACTGAGTGTTAGGTCCGGCATTATGAAATCACAGAAAGCTCATAAAATGTTAAGAAAATTTAAGGTAAACAGGATAAATGTTGTAGAGACAGGTTCGAGTAACTGCTGTATAGAAAATAATTATGATAAATGATATTTATTTCTGTAAGTAAATCTTTTCAGACATTTTTACAAGTCGGACTTTACAGCTAGAAGGAGCCGGCATTTCCTGACTCACTCTGGGAAGAAACGCCGAAACAAACCACATAGGTGTCTTTTTTTTTAAATAAAATAAACCTGTGCGAGAAAAGTATAGGGTTTGGGTAGGTCTTTTGAAGAACGGACCATAGTTTTGAGTCGGCCTGTCCACACAGATGGCATACAGGCTCCAGCCATAGTGTAGCTTAACCGTTATTGGTTAAAATCAACGACCCGAAGCACGACACTACCGCCAGCAGGACATTTGGGTAGGCTGTGGAAATACTCAAAACTACCGGAAAGTTACTAAAACATATGAATTAACATTACAAGCCTATACTCACATTTACATACTTACACAAAGAAAAATACTATACAATTCAATGATCAATGATGATTGAAATGATAGGAACGTAAATGTGGGAGTGAACAGCATCAATTCCAAAATTAACAAATTGACAAGCAAAATTTGTCATTTAAATAATCTGTAAAAGTGTAGTAAGCCTTTTCACATAGTTCTACTAAAGACTTTAATTTGTTAATACTTTATTCATGGAATGACATTGACATTTTATAGTAGAATCGCACGCCCTTTTTTTTCTGTGCGGAAGTCCCCTCGGATATCACCCATCGGTGGTTATGTAGGTATCAGTTGCCGGATAACCAGATGTACTCTAGGAAGGAAATCCTTGATACCTAGACGTACCTCGGGCAATCTACGGCGTGTAAATAACCAATCCCGTGTGGGAAACCCTATATCTCCCTATGTCTCCCTTATGTAACCCTATATAATCCTGCGAGAGTTAGACCTCTCCCGGTCCCGCTCCTTTGCAAGAATAATTTGCTCGCAAAAGGAGACGCGGGCATTCCAGCGTGCCAGCGTGTGGAGCGCCATGTCCACGGTCCAGCTATCACAGTGGTGGCACTTTTGCCACCACGCTCAGGCGTTGGCTCCTTGCGGATCAAACACATGTGATCTCCGAAGCATCCTTTCACAATCATCACCTGAGTCAACCGGTATGAGAGGGTTGCGTGATGCCTCTTGAGCCAATCCTCCATAACGGGTCTTACCGCCGCGATAACGGCTTGCCCAGCGCGCGGTTGCCCAAGTTGTTTCTTCCACTCCCCCATGGGAACCTGGCGGAGAACCGACTCAACTCTCACGGCTCCTTGCACCACTGATACAAAGCCGCAAGGGCTGTCGCCTCAAGGTCCCAAGGTGGAATTCCGGTCAGGAGACTCACCGCCTCAAAGGAGCTCGTGCCGACCCACCTATGACCCTGATGGCCAGCACTCGCTGCGCTCGTCGCAGTAGTGTGACGTTGCTTTTTGCTTCATACCTCATTGAGGGATCGATGCCGAAGCGAGTAGAATCGCACACCCTGACATCGAAAAGACTTGATTGCTTTTTGTAGTCTAGTGGTTCTTAACACGAGTTTATCTTTACTTCTAGTGTTTATTCTATGAATGTCGCTTAACTTTGTGAATAAATGAATATTTTTTCTTTACATACACTAATGTCATGATACTAATTTCTGAGATATACTATAACTGAGATTATAAATAGTGCGAATAGCTCTCTTTTGCAATACAAGGATACTTTGAATGTCAGCAGCATTTCCCTTCAACAAAATACCGTATGACATAACACTATAAAAATAACTAAAATAGACCAGTCTAGCTGTTTCTACATCGTGTATTAAGTACTAAAATAAAGCAAAACTAGTCTATGGTTTGGTGGTAAATTTAGAATGCTTACACATAGTACTAGCAGAAGGTCCGACCTTATATTCAGTGCCGTGCTTTTTTTTCACAGCCTCTGCGGCTCTTAATGATATTTTATACTGAAAAAAATACATGATAAATACCTAATATTCCACCAAAAAGGTTTAAAGAGTGGAACTGTAAAAATTACAATATGTTTTTAACTTACTATATCCCCATGATCGCTTGATTTTAATGAGTTTGGATCTGTCAAGTGGCTGTAAGGTATAACAATCGATTGACCAAATGAATGAAAACCAATGTAATAAATCAGCTTGCCTTGCTGATTGATCGACAACATATAGTCACGAATAGCTCTGGATTCCGGTTCGGAAAATGGACTAGGACCAGCAAATGTATTACTGCAGGGGTTATCGCTAGCTCCGAAACCTGAAATTATGTAAATAGTTAAAAGTTAGTGTAGTAAAAAATAACTAAAATAAATAAATTTGACTTATTTTTCCTTCTAAGCACATTGGTGTTATTTATTTATTTTTAATTGGTTTAAGGCCGATGTGACTATTTAGAGCTCTACGTTACCATTTTTTGTCCTACTTTGACACACACTTAATAAAACATTATCATACTCATCCAATGGAAGTCAAAATTTCTATTAAGATCGACGCCGACGCTCATCTCATCTTTAGCTCTCATACAGGTAGTAAAATTCCTAGGATTTCTGTTTTTCTTCCACATACGATCCTGAAAATTGTTGTAGAGACGGTATTACAATTCGATCTGCCAGTCAATAATTGTTCTTTACAAATACCATTTATTAATTTCATCATCATCAACAGCCTTTAATAGTTCACTGCTGGACGTAGGCCTCTCCTTAGAAAGGAGGTTTTGGCCTACGCGGCGGGTTGGTATAGGGTTTGTGTTAAGTTTTCCTTCTCTGTGCAGTGCTGTTGTTTTGCCTAGTTTTCTCCCTTAGTCGGCTCTTACGACACCCACGGGATCAATAGAGGTGGTGACATTCCGTATTCTTAATCCGTCACCACACGGAAGTTAATTTACTGGTCAATAAATACTTACATTCTTAAAAGTATATTCATATCCATCAGGATTTGCAACGGGAAAAATATGCCACTCAATGCTTTCTGCTAACGCTCTGATAGCTGGATTATTGCTCGTTAAAAACTCCTTTATAATCCATGTTACTGTTGCTGGACAAATCCAATCACGGCCATGAAGTGTACCTACTAGTACCCCAAACAATTTTCCACTTTGTTCGGGATTGAAATTAAGAACTACTCCTTTGATAGGATTTCCCAAAACAGATTCACCCGTGTTCACGATTCCAACTTTTGTAGCATAATAATCTTGTAGTTCATCTAGCCATGCATATATTTTTTTGAGGTTATGATACTCAGTCCAAGTATATGACAGAAATGGTTCCGAGATCCTTGGTGTACTTGGTTTGAGTTGATAGTTAATTGTACTGAAAAAATAATTTTCTTTTTTTTTTATATACATCGTTGCATTAAATTTTTGGTGTTTGATACCTTTTCTCAGTATTAAAAAAATAATAATCACAAAACTAAATTAAAATCATCGTGGTTTTTTTTATGTCAAAGGGGGCAGACGAGCAGACGGGTTACCCGACGGAAAGTGACCATCGCCACTCATGAACGTCTGCTACTCAGGAATCACAAACGCGTTGCCGGCCTTTTAGGAAAGAGTACGCTCTTTTCTTGATGGTTTGAAGGTCGTATCGGTCCGGAAATACCGCAGACGATAACCCATTCCACAGATTGATTGTGCGGGGCAAAAACTGTCTCGAAAAATTTTGCTGTGTGGAACGATGGCAGAAAGTTGCGTCTGGTATTAGTCTATGATATATGTGATAGAGAATGCAGAGTGAAGCCATATCTCATTATTTCTAAGAAGTCTCCTTTTACGTCTAAGTTATATAGAAGACAGAACTTGGAGAAATAACCATTTTCCTTACCTTTCAATATCTGGAATCACTTCTTTAAATTCAATTCTATGTGACTTGATGAATTTGAGGAAATCGGTTATATCTCCGGGTGCCACGTTGATTCGTACATCTAGATTTACTTCAATGTTATCATTCCAAAGTTCTCCAAGTCCAATCTGAACTAGTTCTTCAAGGTGGCTTACTGCGGCATCTTCTCTTGGTACAACTCTATATACCTTATATCCTCCATAAGATTTTTTAAGAGCACTTACAGCGCCAAATATGACAATAGTAAAAAATAAATATGTCATTTAATTTATCAATTGGGTAATCAATGAACTGTATTAAGGTTATTTTGTTATCACTCGAAGAGCGGACACTACAATAACACCATTCTTTAATAAATTTTACATTATTAAAGTTTACTGTATTCAAAGATGGACTTAGAATTACACAATCACTTGGAATTATTAAGTAAAATGGGATAATGAAACTATTAATTATATAAAGAAACAAGATTATTTCTTCTTATTCACGTCAAGTAGTACACGTTAACATTATTTAAATTATAAAATACGTTTAAAAATTCTAAGATTCCAATTAATAATAGTATAATATTATAAATAGGTTATTGATACATTATATCAATTTCAATTTGCTGGTGATAATCATGATATAGACAATTTACCATAGACCAAAAAACTGTCAAATTCAGTACAGGCCGTATACTTAGACTTTTAGGTAGCCAAGCAAAAGACAGCAAGGGTTTAGGTAACTTAAGCTGTAAAAGAGAGAAATTAATCCCTTTTCATAGTTCTTGTTGGCGTTAGTGTGTACGTGATGTGACGGACTCCGTGGGGAGACGGATTAAGAATCCGAAGTTTCACTATTCATACCATGGGTGTCGTACGAGCCGACTAAGGGAGCAAACTAAGCAAGACAACAGCACTGCAAACAGAAGGTAAATTGACATAAACCCTATACCTATGCCAGCGTGGTATAGTTGGCCAAAACCACCTTACTAAGGAAGGACCTATATGCAGCAGTGTCCACTATTACAGGCTGTTAATGTATAGTGGTAAACGCCTTACAAAGTTGAATGCATATGATATGTATATGAAATAAGAGTACGTGCTGATGTTGAATATTGGTAGCGTTTGCGATACGTTTTCTCTTTTTTCTACGTCCGTCGTTCTATGTGAAAATCCCCTCGGGTACTACCCACCGGTGGTTATTTTGGACTCAGACCGACCAAAAACCGCGAGGCGTCTCGGACACCAGTGGCCGAGGTGCACCCTAAGAAGGAAATTCCTGGTATAGTGGTAGGTATAGTCCATCAACGTCGTGCGCGACCGTCCTGCGGGGTGACAGACGGTGGCGGGAACGAGGTACTCAAGATGTCAGCGGGTAGCGGGTGGTGTAGCGGGGAAGGGAAACGCGTGCATCTGCGCGTCAAATACGGCAGTCTCGGCCGTGCAGTGTGCTAGAATGACGCGCTACCTCGCCCCCGCCACTGTCTGTCACCCCGCGGGACGGTCGCGCAACAGATTGTCGGGTTATAGTGGTGGTAGTCCAGTACTTCTTTACAGCTATATATAGCACGATCCATTAGACCTTTTTACTTACAAAAGTCTTTAACCAAAATTCTCATAATTCAGATTCTTGTAAAAAAGGGTCTTGAACTGATAGCACTACATCATTTCAATGAATATCTTTAAAGTAAGAGAAGAATTTCTTTAGGTTAATTGCATTATTATGATTACAATTTTTACAATTAACATTTGATATTCCTTTAGATCTAAATAATTGAGGAGTAATTAAATTTTTAAACATAATGCTATTTCTTCTCTATTTTAAGGAATTAGCCTGTGAGTCTCTGAGTCGAGACTAATGACGGGTTCCTCACTGGTTTTATCACCGGCCCTGTAGTTTGGTTTACACTGCCATAATTTGGTTTTTTGAATCAAATATGAAGATGTAACAAGGGGTGATCGTGAAACACTTCAGTGACTAATAGTAAAACCTCAAGTGATCTCGTATGATTCGTTTTGACAAGCCGAACACATTCTGATTTGTGACAACTATGGAGGCCCATGTATTCGGCACTTATGGGCCAGGCTCGACCAGAGTGATACGACGGCCTTACAGGTAACCGGTGTTATGCAATCCCTTAGTTGAGAGAGTGAAGTTACCCTAATCCGAAATCTTCCCTACCCCTTCTTTTGATACTTTTTTTTTCTTATTTTTTAAAAGAGAAGACAACTCCTGCATTAGGAATATATCCTGTGTCGCGAGGGACTTTACAAACATACATGAAACGGACACAAAGAACACCCAGATTCAGAACAACTATTTGTGGATCACACAAAGTGTCGTCCCATGTGGGGATCGGACCCACAACACTCAGCGTCTTAGTGAGCGGCGTGGCGACCGCTTAAACCATTACGCCATCCGTGCAGTCTGTTATACTGATAGGCAACGCACTGGTGAGTCAAGAGTTGCAGGTATCAATGGGCGGAGGTAGGCATTTATTACTAGGGGACCGTCTGCTGCTTGCATACACCACAATAATCTGATGATAGAGCCAGGAGAGGAGTAGAACTACTCTTTACTACATTTTTCAAAATTATATTTTTGTTTTATTCAGCTTTATTACCTTCAGTGAAATTCTATATCTGTTTTTTTTAATGTTCACTTATAGGTTTAACCTTCATTTCATTTTAATAAAATAAAGAACAGATTAGAATATTTTTTATTGTACACCATGTCTCCGTTTAAATGAATACTTGTAAAGTATTCCGCAACACAGGTTATATTCATAGTGCGGGAGTTGTCTTTAAAAAAATGAAAAAATATAGGTACCTAGAACTTTGATCTCAATATATATATATATTAATACGTGAAGCAATTGTTTACACCTCCTTTAAACAAATATGGTGCATTGTTTTTAAAAAGGGTCAGACTCAGAACAACAATTTGTGGATAGGTCGATGTCCTAGCATCGAACCCACAACACTCAGCGTATTAGGAAGCAGCCAGGTCACCTTTTAAACCACTTCGATATCCAGTGCAGTCATGAATCCGGTGTATGGAATCATTTCATTTTTGAAATACTTTAAAAATGTAAAAGTTCAGATAGCTAAAATGATAACCAACATAATTATGGTTCAAAGTAACTCAAATCAAATATACACGGTGTAAGGGCAGTCAAAACGGTGTATACATGAATAGGGGTGGGTAATCCGTTACTACTGATCATTACTAAATAATATTTTATATTTTCAGTTAAAATAATCATGAAAACAACGATTAGATTATTTAATTACAACTGTATTTACGATGTATTTAAAAGGTTCAGTAAACAATAAAGTAATAAAATTTACCTCAATAATCTAGAGGCACGGTAGCGTCCCAGCCAAGTCGAGCAAAATCAATAACAACGGTATATTATCAGTAAGATATTCAGAAGAATTTCGAATTCCTGTCGAAGTCATTATACATAGATTATTATTTTCTTCAAACATACACAGAAATTTTAAACATAATTAGTGTTTGGCTCAATAAACTCAAAGAAAAACTCATCATACCGTAATTTCAGTCCATTTTCTGGATAATGAATAAACTGCACAAATAATTTTTAATACATAATATAAAATAAGCAATTCAGTCTCTTTTGCTTCATCACACAGTATAAGTGATGAAACAAAAGCGACTTTGGATTGCTTATTTTCTGTATATTATAGTATATTATCTTATATCTGAAGAGATAAGCTATTGAGATTTTTTGTGTAACAATATTTTTCTAGATGTAACAGAAAAAAAATATTTATGAAGATTTCTTCTACCGTCAAAAGGTAAGAGGTCTAATTTCTACTTAATTTAGTAACCGACAACATTTTATAAGGGCCGTATTTTAATTTTTAAATTAATAGAATGACTTGCCAATTGCATTAGTAATAGTAGATTACTTTTATTTAGCTATGTATGTTGCCGTGCTAAAATCGAATTAATTTAAATCTAATATTAACACGATAATAAAATCTTGTAAATGAACAAATTAAGTATTAGATTTCACAAATGGAAGAATTGCATTACGACTTTGCGAAACTTGGACTTTTTTATGAATGTCTTGTTTTTATGGGATGATAGTTAAATAATCTAATCTGCATAGCTATCTTAATAGGCTCGTAGATAAATCGTGAAAATTTCCCAATTGAAACTAAAATCGTAGTATTCCTTCGAAAACACCGTAGGTGTGCATACGCAATGGGACTAAAAGAAATAATATTTTTGTCGATAATTGTTTCTGCTATTCATGCAGAATATGTGAGCTACGATAATTACAAAGTATATAAAGTGGTACCCAAAACTGACAATGACGTTCAAATTATCATGGATGTGGAAAAACATAAGGAGTATATGTTTTGGACTGACATCATAAGTTTAGATAGTGACGTAAACATCATGGTTGCTCCCGAAAAACAATCTGAATTTGAGAAATATTTCAAAGATGTGAACATTTCAGCTTCAGTAGTTATACAAAATGTGCAAGAGTAAGTTTTTATCAGTTTTCTTCAAATGATCAGTTAGTCGCTACTACTTCTAATCATAAATATCAAATTTTGACAGCGATCATACTTTTTTAGAAATAAATTAGTAGGTTTAATCTAAAAACCTGAATAACTTTTGAACTTTAACTTTTACTCTCAAAAAATACTAAGCGTTTTCTGACAATACATTTAGTAGTTCTTTGAGTATTTGAATTGGTACATGTAACAACTCAAATTCTGATAGAATTTTAAGTTTTATTGGTTTTGGAAAGGCAAAATATACGAATTAGGTTTACTTGGCTGTAGAATCTAATGTTAAACTATGTTTAATACTTGCAATTAAAACTACAAATAGTAACAAAATTTATTAAAAACACGTTTTAAAGATGTTTTGTAACATATGCGATTAGTACTTAAAAACAAATGTGTCAATCCATACGAATGCTACTAAACATTATCTATGGAATTTTAATTTGCGACATTATTTTTTTTAGGAAAATCAACAGTCAACTACGTCGTCCCGCTACTCGAAACATTAATAATTATGCCTTCGACTATTATTTAACCGTTGAGGAAATCCACGCATGGCTCGATAGAATTGCTGCAGAGCACCCAAATGTTGTCACTTTAGTTAATATAGGCAATTCAAACGAAGGAAGATTAATTAAGGGAGTTAAAATTGATTTTAAGAAGCAAACCAATCCTGTGATTGGCATGATTGAAGGTGGTATTCACGCAAGAGAATGGATTTCACCAGCAACCGTAACATACATCATTGACCAGTTTTTGACCAGTACTGACCCTCAAGTAAGATATGTTGCCGAAAATATTGTTTGGCACATATTCCCTGTAGTGAATCCTGATGGGTACTCTTATACTTTTACGAATGTAAGTTTCGATGAATTTTGATTAACAAACTTATTTTGCTTTGATGCAGATAATATTGATTGTGCCTTAAGCAAATTATTTTGGTTTTATAGAATAGGATGTGGCGAAAGAATAGAAGTCAAGCCAGTCACACTAACTGTTCAGCCAGCAATGATATGAGTAACGGAGTAGATTTGAACAGAAACTTTGGTTTTCTATGGATGAGTAAGTAAAATGATAATTAAGTTTATATACACTTATTAAATTTTATTTTTATATATCATTGTCAAATTTTCTTATATTCGTAAATTAAATTTATTTAAGACGAGGTTGTGTCATGTTCATTAATATTACATACATATATTCACGTCAATGTGTGATACATTCATCAAGGATTATTAAAATAAAAGCAAATTAATATTTCAGTTTTAATCAGGTTACATTATAATTATATTAAGTCAGCTTAAATATTTATCTATAGAATTTATAGTCACTAGTCTAGAAGTTATCTTTATAAAGCGGTTAATCGGCAATATAATTTTAATAAGGTTAAATTATTTTTTACAACACTCTGTTTACACTTGATAATATAAAGACTAGCTACTCCCCGCGGCTTTGCGCGCGTGATTACTTATTTCATGTTTCTAACTTGAAAAATGACGAACTTCTGTACAACAGTTCATGATTTATTTTACCTCTTTAAGGGTGAAATTTCCAAAAATCTTAGTAGATTCTTACAATATATACTGCATCAGCTGACAATATTTTAAGTTTAGGCTGCTGTTTAGGCTTTCAGAAATTAGTCAGTCGGCCAGGGCATTTAATTTTAAATTTATGGATAATCGATTGTTCATTGACATCATACATACGCGGGGAAGGAGGAGGCGGAGGCGTATTAAACTGCCACATTTTGCCAACTTTAACATAATAGGTACATATAATTATAAATAAACATCAGTATACATATATTTCTAAATACATACACATCATAGTTAAATTATACCCAGACACAAAACACATGATCGTTCTCATTCAACAATATATGTCTGGATGGAAATCGAACTCACGACCTCTAACTTAGAAGTTAGAATCGCTAACCACTCAATCAACAGCCAGTCGGGGATTGAATAAAGTAATAAATTGAATAAATAACCAAATGAATATCGCTAACCACTCAATCAACAGCCAGTCGGGGATTGAATAAAGTAATAAATTGAATAAATAACCAAATGAATGTTGTAATAATTGGCTGTGGCATTAAGTCCGCCATTGTACAATGAATTGTTGTTTGAACAAAAATAATTAAATAAAACTAAGTAAATAAAATGATTATCAGAACTTCGTTAAAATTTACTCACTAAAATATATTTATTGATGTATTTCTTCAGGTATTGGAGCAACACAAAATCCTTGTGGTGAAACTTTTGCTGGTCCTGCTGAGTTCTCAGAGCCCGAATCCAGAGCTATTAGATCGTACGTAAGCAGGATTCAAGGAGAAGGCCGTATGATTTATTACTACGCCTTCCACTCATATGGTCAAATGGCTTTGGTACCCTACAGCCATGTTGGTGGTGCAAATGTCTTAGAAGCTCCTAACTATGCTGATATGGTAAAGTTCTAAAAATTCTTAAACTAGGATCAGTATCCATATAATACAAAAAGTAAATACTTGAGAGTCTTATATGGATGCTGATCCTGGTAGGAATAATATTCAAATGTGGATGGATGGATCGTGGATGTTGACGGACAGGATGAATAAAGATGTGGGTTTGTGTGAGTATGATGAAAATAAGAATGTTATTAAATAACATTATTAATTAAAATTAGCATTATAATTAAAATTTATTCGATCAAATATATTTGTTTATATGTTAAAACTCATCATTTTGCTGCCATTTTATGCCAAATTTATTTCGGATTGGTTTTATATATAACATTGCCAAGGTCTTTCAAATGGTGAATTTCGATAAATAAAACGTACGGGGCGAGGGAGGGCTTCTCATAAACTTACCCAAGGCTTAGAATACCTTAAGTCTTGGAGGGGAAAACCGTCCGTTACATACTTGAAGGTGCTATTAGGCCATCAGGCCATGAAATGATGATTATGTTCCAACTAATGTATAACATAAATTTTTTTTTTTTTTTTTTGCTTCTATGATTATATTGCAAATATATTTTCAGTTTGAAATTGCTGTCAGAGGTATGGATAAACTGGAAGCGGTCCATGGAACAAATTATAGAGTTGGTACATCACTAGATATTTTGTGTAAGTAACATTATTTAAGAGATTTTTATTTCTACCCGACTGAAAGGGAAGGGTTATGTTTTTCGCGCGTATCTTGTATTTGTTTGTTAATTTCTTTATTATCTCGTATCTTCCAAATAGCTGGATGGATTTCGACAGTTAAATTATTGTTTTAGCCGGCTCAAAAAGCCAAGTGTCTTTAGATGGACGTTTGAAATATAAAAATAAAATGGCGTTTTTTTGGCGCAAAATAGTAATGGGTTAATAAAAAGAAATATCAAAGCTTTCGAGTAGAGTATCAAACTGAAAAATATTACAAGAGGATTACAAAAATATGTATTAGTTATTTATTTAAATTTAACATGAAATAATAAATTGGTTTAAAAAATTTGATATCTCAAAAATAGGCCTTGTACTACACAAATAGGCCATGTACTACTTCATGTACCAAGGTCTTTTTTAGTGCATTACATTCTAATTGTATTTTTGAAGACGGGTTTTCGATTTTTTATTATTTAGACTTGTTAATATATTTAACCATCTACTTTTAAAGAAAAGTTTGAGGTTATACATATTTTTGTTATCGTTCAAAAACTTCCAACTTCAAATCCCAACACTGACAGTCCACGACTACGACATTTCAAGATTTTTTTCTTTCTACAACCAAACCGAACAATTATTATCTACGTATTGCCGGACCAATACGATTTTTGACGTCCCAAATTTAAGAACTTATAACCCTTAATTAGCAGGTTTCTATGGGTATCCAAATTTCTGTAAACTACTAAACTAAACGAAATCGTATTTTTTACAGACGCAGTCAGTGGTTCAAGTTTTGACTGGGCCAGAGGCGTAGCAAACATACCAATATCTCTTCTTTTTGAACTTCGTGATACAAGAGATCATGGATTCCTTCTGCCTCCAGAACAGATCATTCCCAATAGCGAAGAGATTGTCGCGGGTTTGGTGGAAATGGAAAAGGTAACGCGAGAACTGGGCTACTATCAGAATTCTGGACAAAGGGTACTCGGCAGCATCATGATATTTGTTGTGTCTTTAGTTATTGCTTTGTAAAGTTATAAAGTAAAGTTTGTAAATAAAATAAAAATACCATACACCAATATTTATTTATACAAAATATTCTTGCGTTTGTTTATAGAATTAATCGTCTTTTGATAAAATCAAATCACTTTCTACTTACTTCGAGGTACAGACAACAATAACAAAAAATGAAGTTTTGACACCATCGAATAAACAGTATTTGTCAAGGCTAAGACTACCCTTATAAATAAAAGGTAAATAATAAACGAAGAGCGCATAGTAACGCGTGACTGAAGTCACATGTCGTGTGACAGACACAAATCATAACGTTCGGGTTGCGACAAAAAAGCCGTGGAGAAGTTCACTCGAACCTTTTTTCTATAATAAATATTATAATTTAGTAATCTCAGTAAGATAAAGTAAATTTACGCTGAATTTTGGAGACGTTCTGTGAGAACAAATTTTGTTGGTATATAAATTATTGTGGTTTAAAAAAAAGTTTTCATACTTGTTCTATTTTTGCAATCTAATTTTCTATGGAAACACAATTTAGAAGTAACACTTCACGTGTTATTTTATTCCTGAGAGACCCATACATTTCGAATGTATTTGACAGGTTGGAGGGTATTTGTTATTGCAACTAAAATTTTTTTTTACTGATAAGGTTATATGTAAGAGAAGATCTTCGTAATGAGAATTTTAGTGAAGATAGCAAAAATCTTAGATGCACAGCATATGAAGGCAAAATCATAGTAAGTATCCAATACAGTACAAGAACAGTTGATTTTGAAGTATTCTCTTCTTAAAAAATTAATCCTAAAAACTTCGAGCTGGATTCCTGAGCGACACAAAAATAAGTGTGGTATCGATTCGATCGATCGATCGGTAGAGACTAATTTTTCTTTGTGCTTGTTGTTATATTGTTGGTAAAGTCAAGTAAAAAAAGGAACCTGGAGATATAAGCTGTAAAAACAACTTTCTTATTTAAGGAACAGATGAATGCATCGGCTAAAACAAAAGAAAACGGAGCTACACGACTCCATACCCTGTAATGTTACTTAAACATATTCAATTTATATGATAATATCTGGTAATGATGTCTCTTTTTATTGTTTTTCTCTCAAACGTTGCGTAAAATTAAACTGCTTAGAAAATTTTATGTCACAATATGATGCTGTAATTTCGTTTCTGATATTAAAAGAATATTTTAATAAATAACTTTTGTCATAAAAGTCAATAATTATATTCCTACGCATGTTTAACATTCATAGGTAAAAAAATATGTATACTGCAACGGTGTTTATATTATTTCATAGACAGATTGCAAAATGTTAGTAATTCTAAACAATAAACCAATAAACTAATAATAATGTTGATAATTTGGATACTGCGCTTTTTGGACATATACCGAAAAAGCACATAGGGATCCAGAACACATTTTTTAAGTAATAAAATTATAAGCATTCCTAATACATAGGAAGTTGCAAATATACGTATTAATGCATAAAATGATTCCAAATAAACGGTAATTAAACATGCAATTTCCGAAGCTACAACCGGATACCGTTTAAGGCAGTGGTCAGTTGTGACTAATCAAGTTAGACCTTAAATGTACAGATATATAATGAGAGTACTAAATTTCCATCAAATTAAAAACAAAATCTATCTGAATTTTACACTTTTCTGCGTAAATAGAACCCAAATTGTAGTAAGTAATAACCTCACAGATCTCATACACAGCCGCTTGATCCCAAGCTAGGCAGAGCCTGTACTGTGGTAAACAGACTGCTGATAAAAATATAAAAATTACAACATTACACCCAAACATAAAGCAAATGAGCGTATTCATCAAACAATTATCTGCGCTGGGCGGGAATCGGACCCACGACCTCTGCCTTAGCAGTCTGTATCATTAACCACTACACCAACAGGTCCGTCAATAAACTTCTACCTACCGTTTTTGTAAATATTTTTTTAGATTATTCATTTAATATTCTTCAACAGTAGAATAAACCAGTACCGTTAAGTTCAAAATAAATCAAAGTATAAAAGTAAGTTCTAAATTAAGAATCGGAGAACCCAAGACAACCCTTCTTCGCAGTCATCAATCATTTGAGAGTCGTTAATGAGTCGAAACCAAACATTACTTAGAAGCAATTTGTGGCAAAACCAACATAACTCGATGCCCAATCCAACACTTTGTGGTATAAAGAAAAGATCTACTTTAAACTGGATGACCAACTTACCAACATCTATCTTGTTACCTAACTTGGGGAAGAGAGGGATCTTACTAGACTGGACGGTGTTGTTTAAAAATAACTTAATAATGTAGTTAATGTCTGAACGTATTAAAATGCTAATAAATAAGTGGCACGGTCGTTTATTGGGGCCTTTAAAATTTTATGCTAGAATAGATTTAGTGGTGGGTAGGGTACCGTAAAAAATTCAAAAACTGCTGATCAAAAATATTACAGTTTTAATAAAGATATATTATTTACATGTCTACGGGATGGATGAAGTGGCGGCAGGTAACCGTAAAAACTTGTGACCCCAGTTTCCCCTTAACACTGAAGGGACAAATTTATAAAACTATTATCAGACCTGCCGTCCTGTATGGTTCTGAAAGTTGGCCCATTAAGAGAACGGATGAGAGACGCCTGAACGTAGCCCAAATGCGAATGCTGAGATGGATGTGTGGTGTGACTAAGATGGACAAGGTTAGGAATGAGTATATACGAGGGAGTCTGAAAGTATGTCATGCGGAGGGATGAGGAAAATGTGGCGAAGAAAGTTTTAGGTATGAGAGTTGAAGGGTACAAGAGAAGATGCAGACCAAAGAAGAGGTGGATGGACTGCGTCAGGGAGGATATGGCTAGGAAGGGAGTAAACAGTGAGATGACGCATGACAGAGTAGAATGGAAAAATCATACATACTGCGCCGACCCCAAATAAAATTGGGAAGGCAGATGATTATATTATTTACATGTCTAAATGTATTGGTACGAAAATTTTGCTCATATAAAAAATTTCGTGTATAAATAATTCTAATACGAAATAGAAAGTTACCGTATAGTCAGGAAAATGAAAGCTTGCAGCAAAACATAATGCAGAAATTGCTAAGTCTACTTAAAATACTAGTTCTCGTGAATGTTATTCATATTCATTGGGGTTTATAAAAACCAGCTCTACCTTGGCACGCTGCACTGCGGCACATTGTGATTGCATTAATGAGAAATTAGATATAAAACTGACGTGAAAAATAAATAAAAACATGAAAAAAAATGAAGCGTTTTATACCGTGTCAAAATTGAAACTGAATCGGTGCATTTTTTTTTTAATTTTTAAAGCGCATCCAAACCAACCTAACATTTTCAATATACAGGTAACTATATGTGTGAGAAGTATTTCCATTATATATAAACTGGCAAAATCACAATGTATTTACATATGTTTTAGATATAAACCAAACCGTGGGAGAGCCATGCTTCTCACGAATGGGTCGGCTCGACCGGAGTGATACCACAGCCTCACAGAAAACCGCTGTTAAGCAATTCTTTCGTTGCCTTTCACTGAGTGAGTGAGGTTACCGGAGCCCGAATCCCCCGCTCCCGCTGATTCAAGCGGGAGGGACTCCAAGGGCAGTAACGCACTTAGACTTTTGAGTTGCAGGTGTCTATATGCGGCGGTTTAAATTCTCAAAAGTTGAGGATGTACAGTTAAACTAGCTAGCTAACTAAACCAGCGACCCGCCGCGGCTTCGCACGGATTCAATGTAGATACTATTGTGGTTTCAGTCTGGAGCAATTATTTATATTATTATTATGATTAGACTATACTATACTACAGGATATTTTTATATTACAATATCAATAGACACGCTCGGCGCATGCCGACTGTTGCCACCCGGGCCGGCCATGTACTATACATACATATAAACTTTCCTCTTGAATCTCTCTCTCTCTACTTGAAACTGCATTAGAATCTGTTGCCAAGCTCTAGAGATCTTAATGTACAAGATCGTAAAATGATTTAATTTTATATTAGAAATATAGATGTTTATCCAGAATACAAACAGCGTGATGAGATATCACACACGCTACGTTAAACGTTTATGAGTGTATTTTTACACGCAAAGAAGCAAACCACAATTTTATTGCTGTTTTTTTCTTTAAATTGCTGGCGTAATTTAATTATGACACAAAACATTTCACCGAAGTGCAAATGTAGTTCTATTTATTATTTTGAAATTTTAAATTGATTATACTACGGAACCCTTTTAGTTTAAAGTGTGCTTGTCTCACCTATTTATGATCTTTATAAAAAGGTCGGTTATTTGTTATAATTAGTATTGTGACCATCAAAGAGCTTGTATTATAACCGGATCTCGTTCCCATAGTTTTATTTCGTTATTCAAATTATGATATATGATAGTCTAAAGTGAGAATGTCCGTACAAATTTACGACACCAAACGCCACTGTATTGAAATAAATTTTAGTGTGAAATATTTTTAGTTTTTAATATCGAATAATTTTTCTTATGTGCTATTAGTTATAACAACAAATTTAATATTTTAATGTGAGGCGAAAAAATAATTGATTTTGTAAAATGTTTCCCTGAAAGTAGTTTACGTAGAACCAGTAACATTAATTGCTGTAGTAGTTTTGTTTTATTATTTCATAAACTTGTATTGTACCAAACTTATAATAAAAACAATAGCAATAGAAACAAATATTGAAATATTCTTTTCTAATAACAAATCAAAATTTAGCAAGAGTATTTTAGCATCATAGCCTTTAATAGTCCACTGCTGGATATTGGCCTCTCCTTAGAAAGGAGGTTTCTTCCTGCTATATCTGCTGTATAGGGTTGGTGTCAAGTTTTCCTTCTTCTTCTTTGCAGTGCTGTTGTATTGCGCAGTTTGCTCCCATGGTTGGCTTTTACGACACCCACGGGATTTATAGGGGTGGTGACACTCCGTATTCTTAATCCGTCAACACACGGATAAGTTTTTAGCTTTATGGTATAGATAAGC